CAAAAATGTTCGATTACATGACTGCCAATTTGTCAAATAAGCATGGAACTTAAAATTCTGGTCCAGAAAAGTAAATAATGAAAATGAATTCTCAGAATGTGTTTTGTGGAGATTTTTAGAAATTTTCACAGATTGAACTCATGAGTCAGTTGAAGCTAGACCACCATTGAAAACCTGGAAGCACTGGACGGCCATTTCGTCCTAGTATGGGACTCCTCAACAGTGCGTATCCACGACGCCGCACCACCCGGGGCTCGAACCCAGGACCTACTGGCTTCGCGCGCGAGCACTTAACCATTAAACCACTGAAGTTAGACATTAACACCATTGGATGCCGGCTTAGTGGTCTAATGGTTAAGTGCTCGCGCGCGAAGCCAGTAGGTCCTGGGTTCGAGCCCCGGGTGGTGCGGGGTCGTGGATGCGCACTGCTGAGGAGTCCCATACTAGGACGAAACGGCCGTCCAGTGCTTCCAGGTTTTCAATGGTGGTCTAGCTTCAACTGACTCATGAGTTCAATCTGTGAAAATGAATTCATTGCAATAAGAAAATTAAGGATTGATAACTAGCTGTTTTATCTAAATATGGAACCTCTGTTCAGTCAGTCAGTCATTATAAAGAGCCACTACATCTGAATATGACTTTTCAACACCTAAACTATATCTCTAACCACTATCCATGTAAAATAATTATTGCAAGCTTATATTACTAGTCGATTGGAGTTTTAAAATCAGAATAAAACTGGATTGCGGTTTTTAGTCTAAAGAAAGTTTCCATATCTTAATTCACTGCCACATATCCATATAAAATTTTATATACGACAACCTGCTAAATAATCTACTTATGATAATTTCAATCTAACAACAATATCCAATGTTCATCAATGAACGACAATTTACAGAAATGTTAGAGCTACCAGATGAAATTTAACTCATGCACTTCAAAAACTGTTATTTGAATAGTACAGTAGTCTTCCAGGAAAAATAGTGTGCGGTAAAATATAAATTGCTCAAACTTGGAGACTATCGAACTAACAAACATAATTCCTATCTACATTTTAAAACTAGTTGTCCTTTAGATATCATTTATAACAAAATATTAACTAGAATAGATAGGACTTTTGGTAATTGTTAAATGTCCATAGATTGCATTATGGACTGATTTTAGGTAAAAAAATATTGAAGAACAGAAAGCAATAGACAACTGTTTCCTCCAAGTATGGATCTACCAACTACTCCCCATCTACAACCCCATTACCAGGGAGTGAACTCGGAACCTTTGATCACCCGCGCGAAAACGTAACTTCTGTACCATTGAGGTGAAATCTATTATTGCATACGTTTAACTTCATCCCCTATGTTGTGCAATAACCTCCCATCGCCTGTCTCATATTCGATATAGCTGAAATGCAGTCGTTACTAATAATTGTCTAGCTGAGACTGGTGTATGAAATGGACCATAAAAACCCAAAATCTCTACAAAGCTCCTATGCCAGTAATATTACAAAAATTCTAATTGCGATTTCTTGAGTTATAGTAAGTGGCTGTAACTATAAAATGCTTACCTTAAGCGTTTATATTCATCACTATTCATAAAATAATAGCCATTACCAGATAGTTTTCTACACTCTGTCAATATCTAAGTATACCTTACTTATAGAATAGTTTACTTACCAAGTCCCTGGAACAACGTTGTAAAGAAAACTCAAATTACAAGCGACTTCCTAAAATAAATATGTCAAGTGCGTTTTCACAAAATTGAAATATATTTTACCAATCATGCATTGAGATTTCAATATGCAACTAACTAATCGATAATTCTTATTTCACTGTGCTCTATTTGACTATGTCGACAGAAGTGAAATTATATTTGGTCGGTAAGATCAACAACAAATGTATATCAACATTTCTTTAGGAAGTTAACAAGCAAAACTGAATATGAATATTCTCTTATTGTGAATATTGCTTTCATTAGAGGGATAAGATGAAGCAGATCTTCAATATATGAAAATTTTTTACATAAATTAAAATACGGACTTTAACAACGTATTGTTTACTAACATCTGAAATAGTGATACTTATTATAAATAAATTTAATTATTTCAGTCGAACGTATTTGATTACGGTACGGAACTCATATCAGTAGTACACATTTTTCTTCAACATTTAAAATGTATTATTCCCTATCAAACCTTTCAATGTGCTTATTTCTCCAACGTATTTAAACTCTGTATTTAAATCATCGACTTGATGTTATATTTCGTGAATTATTTAGAAAAATCAATACATTCACTGACTGTGTGTAGGAAAAAATGACAAAAGTGATACTTCATCTCATTCTTAACTTGCTGAACTAAACTTTTTTTAAAATCAACGCTATCATAAGTAAAAATTTATGAGCAAATGGAGTTATCACTCATGACTATTCAGCTCAAACAAATCTAAAATAGGCACTTTCATTGAATTATTGAACATTCAGAAAGGTAATCCAGATATTTGAAGAGATTTTAGTAATATCATATGCGGAATAAATATACGTTGAAAGTTTGAATAAATAATGTGTTTTATAAATAAACTAATATATTTGTAGATATCCCAGTGAGTAGAAAAAATTTGATTTTTTGACGTTACGTGACTCAGTGCAAGCCAATTCTTCAGAGAATAAATAACCAAATCAACTTGGACTAATTTTGATTTGGTTATTTATTCTCTCAAGAAGTGGCTTGCACTGAGTCACGAAACGTCGGGAAATTAATTTTTTCTACTCATTGGATATCTACAATACATTATTTTTATTTATAACAATCTACCCAATGCTCAATTTATCCGAAATTATCAAGTCAAACCTTGGTGATGATACCGAAAAAATAAATTTTATGTTTACGCAATGAATATTTAAAACTGATTAAAACAACTGACACTGTATTCGATAAGTTTTGTTGATATCAGCACAAGTACATCCATTTAATGGGATTCAAATGGTTTCAAAATTATACCTTGATTCCTACTAAAAACCATTATTTAAAATAAAACGATTGTTATACTGTTTATGCCTGTTATTTGGACTCATTTATTAAAAGTCTGGGTTTGACCTTTTAGTTCTTTCATTAATTATTAGAACACTGTAGTTTATTCTCATTCAATATCAACTTAACACCAGTATCTTTTTCAGTAAATGTAGAAATCGATGAGAATAGTTAATAACCGTCTAAAATTGGACATAGAGTAGACTAATGTATATTCATTTATGTTCCAACTGTTACTGAAAGAAACGTTTTCAAATTTTGGCATACAGAAAATCTAAATATATGTAAATAAAACTAAAAAATCTGTATAAAAACCAAGTATCAGCTATACTACCTGTTGGAGACGTTAAATCCTCAGAATGCACTTGGAAAAGGACCTAGTTTTGTAATTTTTTTGCAAAATTTGAATCTCTTTGTTTTCGCGCCAAAAGCACTCTTTTCACCTTCATGTCGTATTTCCCACTTGGGAGAATTTTAAATGCTATTGGTCCGTTGTGTATTTTAGTATGCTATTTTTTAACTCTCCACGAGGACGGTTTTGTGCTGTATATATTTATGTTGATTTTTTTCTGTTGTTATGGCTCATTTTCTGGCTTTTGCGGAATATACTTCTCCATATCATGCTTGAACTTCTTCCTCTAATTAGCGGGGCTATGACGCATCGAATAGCTAGCTTATCGGTCATTGGTCACCGAGTCTTTGTTCTGTTCGCAGATTAAGTGAACTCGTAATCACTTCAAACCTAGCACTACCATAATATTCTTTATTAAAATATTTAATATAAAAGTATTACCACGCCAATATCTCATCTTCAAATGACTTATGTGGCGTTTCTTTATATTTTTCTACTCATCAAAAATGTAATGTACATTTTCCGGTGTAATAGTTGTTGAAGACAAGAGTCATTTTATTTGCATACAAATAGCCTCTTAAAATGTTATACGAATTCATTATTTTTCTAAAGAAAGTTTTCTCCACTTCATCAATATACATTTTTATTCTAACAATTTATTATTTTATGGGAACTAAATTACGATTAATGTACTTCATTTCTGTTAAAATAACGAAATACAAATATTGCAAAGTAATGAATTGTATCTGATTAAGTAAATAAACTGTCTGTAAACTGACAAGTTCATTTAAATCTAATAAGCCATAAAAATATTGACTAAAACAAGAGAAATGGATAATTTTAAACAGGAACGAATTGAGTTACTTTAATCGGAGCCTCCAGCATTTTCACAAAGTAAATACATAATCTTTAATTCAATGATTTAGATTCATTTGCTGGATTCCTCACAGATTTGATGATGTTTTGAACAAATTATAAACTACTACTATTAGAAACTAACAGGAATCGATTAATTTACAGTTAATATGACGGAATGGCTGTAGCTATACAACTAATGGAAACTATGGATTACTTGATAGTTGTTTCTCTTTAGTATGGGATTCCTCAGTTCTATAAATCTATGACTCTACTACAGTTCTTACTCAAAACGTGAAATTTTTGCTGCATGCACTTGGTTTTAACGCTATGGAGCTAGCATCAGATGAATTACGTACCAATGTTCCATCAATTTTGTTTCATTAGTTGATCATCATCTATTGCTGTCAGTGACACTTTTCAGATGACCAATACAAGTGGATTACACTAGTTAAGACTTTTTACTACATCTCATAAATTTGTCTTGACTTTGAAGAATAGATAATTTTTAATAATAGAGTTAGTAGGTTGTGGAGATTATTAAGTCTGAAGTCACAGATATTAATGTACCCAAATGAAATATTGGATATTCAGATGGAGCAACTACAATACAGCCAATTTTTAATAGTTGCATTGTGAAAGATTCACTAATGTAAACTACAAAATAAAGAAAAATTACCTCTGACAAAATATGGAAATAATTGATAAGTATTGTTATTTTCGTTTTCTTGATTATAGTCATTTTGTTTTTTCTCTCACTGCTTTCTCTAGATTTTACTGGAATGTAATTATGCTCATCCTACTTATGGCTAATCTTATAATGTTGCCGGTGATAATTTCTTTCTTTAATGATGATCTACCTGGAAATTGGCTTATTTTCAACAGTATCTCAGATACACTGTTCATATTGGATATTATTGTGAATTTTCGTACTGGTGAGTTATATATATACACATTTATTGATGTAAAGACTATGTCATCATGCTTGAAGTTAACTTTTCTAAATTGTTACTAACACATAGAAATTGTAAATAGGAATATTGAATACAATCAGATGTCTCAGAAATCTTGCTCTATCTCATCACTTCTTTCAGAAAATGTACTATGATGCACACATTGACTATTCAGCGCATATTTGATAAATTCACCATAACAGTTTAATAAAATTTGGAGTTAATAATGCAAGATTACCTGGGGTAGTAATTTCAGCCAAAATTCCACAGTAGTTAACATCGAAAAACTGAAAAAATTCAAATAATTATTCTGATTTAGTTTTAATGAAGTGGCCAGTTTATAAGAAATATACTTGTCTAACTGGAAATGCCTCATGCATACAAACTTTACGCTTAGGAAGCTCACTGTCATTTTAAACAATAAAAACTGAGGCTCTTAAATAATTAAATGTTAATCAGTATATTGAGGAACTTTTGTGTATTCAAGTTTCAATAGATATATTTTGTTTATCGGGAAATTTCAGAAACTTGACGAGAAAAGTGACCATCTAAAGAGTATATCTTATCATTGATTACTATTCGCCCACAAATCAGTCTACATTTGTAGAAGAATACAATATCCATATATACTCTGAACGATTTGAGATATGACAAATATCTTGCCTCGAATGGAGAGGATTTTAATAAAAGTAGTATATATGTACACTAATTTGTGTTCACCGAGTTTCCTGACTTCAGTCTACCTATTTATTGAACGAAAGGGAATGTTTAATTTAGGGTGTTAGTTTTGGAATGACAAGTTAGTTACTTTAGCGAAATATATCAGTTAAAAATTGATGTTCATTTTCTTATATTAGTGATGTGAAAAATTAACGTAGTAGTATCATTCCCGCTGAACAACTTAGTGTCAGTAGTTTAGTGGTAAACGTTTAAGTCTTTGAGATAAAGAGGAGTTTTATCGAGTCTCAATATAAACATCAATACTGTGATGTAGATACGTCTTGCTGACGACTCCCAAAAAGCAGGAAGAGTCAGTTCTGAGATCCACACTTGGACATAGTTCATTTTACTAGAAATTCTAGCCAAAACTATCATAGTGGAGAACTGCTCATTACGCAGAAACCCTAGTCGATGTTCAAGTATTATTATAAGTTCAACTAAAAGACTACGTTACTCATACCAAACTATCTATGGTCATATATTTTGCTCAACCTGTGCTAAATAAAAGACAATATTTAGACAATTCTGCCTAGCAAGAAAATCTGTCATTACTTTCGTGATCGTACTGACAGAGTAAATGTTTGATACTCTAACTTGCAAAAATAAAACTGACACCCTAGTATTAGCTGTGTAAATGCACCTTCCTTTACTTTCTCCGGTGAGTCACAGGGTTAGTTTTTAAACATTATCAAACGAGTCTACAATTACCAAGTAATAAATTAATCTGTAACATTTTCCCTCATGATTGTGGCTTTTAAAAATAATTGGTGTAGATCGGAAAGTAATGCTATATATAATGCTGTATATAATTACATTCCGTTATATCCCACTTGTGTTCTCGTTGTGTACACTATTTCGATGATGGTTGTAGTGTTCTCCGAGTTTCAGCTGTGTACGATAGGTCCGTTTGAAGTTCGGACTAAGGATTTTGCGCTGATGGCTGAAGGTTGTCTTGAGTTCCATATCTTCTTCAATTTTAGAAACACTTCTCTTGTTTGTTCATACCTTGCCTGCTTATCTGCATCAGATATTCCTAATGTATCGATGATACTGCCCAGACGCATACAACATTCCATCTCTTCCAGAGATTCTCCATCAAGTGTGAGTGGGTTGATGCTTTCTGTGTCGTATTGTGTGAATGGGATAGGACAGATATTTCATCTGTGAGTTCCAAATCGTCTAGTTGCATCAAAGAAGTACTCCGTATTCAGTGCTTGACTTGTGGTTCGGGGTCTCCATAATCCAGTCAACTACCAGAAGAAAGCGAAAGGGAGAGAGTAACCAACCTTGTCTGACACCAACCTCATTTGGAATGCATCTGTCAGTTGTCCTCCTTGCACTACTTTGCAGTGTGGTCCGTCGTAAGAATCTCGTGTGATGCCGACGATCTCCTCAGTTACAACATAGTTTCAAAGAGGGAACCATAACATACTTCCACACACACCGTGAAACACCTTCCCATAGTCAAGGAAAGTGACACATAGTGACAAATTCCATTCAATTGATTGCTCAACGATGATTCGTAGTGTGGTGATTTGGTCTGTGCACGACCGAACCTTCCGGAATTCAAACTGTTGGTCTCGACGTTGTGCATCTGTTGAATCTTTCATCCGATTGAGCAACACTTTGTTGATAACTTTTTCTGTTACCGACAGTGGTGTGATGCGTCTGTAGTTCTCGCACATGCTCAAATATCCTTCGTTTGGTGTGATGATGAGATATCATTCTTTCCAGTATTTTGATACTCTTAAGTAAAACCTATGCCACTGCTAGATTCCACCTCAGTCGTTCAGATATTTGGTTTTCTCACGGGAGATCGAAGGTTCCGAATTCAGTCCCTTGTGATGGGGTCGTAGATGAAGATTAGTTGGGAGATCCATACTAAAAGGAGACTTTTTTCTAATGCTTTCTGTTTTTCAATATTTTTCTACCTAAAATCGGTTCGTAATATCATTACCATATATTCCTTTTTCTAATAAATAAAAATATTTTTATATTTCTCTTTTCTCCCATAAATTTTTAATTACTAGACTCACCTCAATTTAAATATTACACTTTATGGATTGAATTTATTGTGATCTGTGTATAGCACGTATTTTCTAATGTTAACTAACTTCTAGAACACTTTAATTTTTCAGTAGTCAAACAATAATCAATAATTTTTTCCGATTATTCTATGAAATAAAAAACCGACTGAAAACCTATACGCATCCTTTTGGTTATAAACTCCATATTGTAATGTTTTGGAGAAATTGGATTAATAAAATTCATTCCATAAGAAAGTCGAGTCTGTCGAAACGTTTATCAAAATGCCAGAATATCAAAACAAACAAATTTAATGTGGATGGATTTCTTTTTAAATAGTCTTATTCAAGAGCATTTGACTGCTAAAACAACCAAACGTTAAGTTAATGATAGTTTCAGAGAAAACGAATTAGATAAGTAACAACTATGCAAAAGATGTAACCTGCAAACTTACTACACTTACTGGCAGTGTATAAATGAATGGTGACCTTACTTCTGTGATCGAAGGTATCATACGTGTATGATATCGTGAAATATACAAATGTGATAACTGTTATAACAGTGCTGGAATATGGAATATCGATTTTCGTTTTTATAACTCACAGAGCGATGGTTTCAAAAGGCCGTCCACAGTTTTGATCACAAACTTTGGTTTACCGAAACCTTAGGAAATTTCAGCATAGTTTTATCTGTCAGGATGTATAATTCAAACTAAACAACATTTCATACCTACAAGTCGGTCCAGTTACTGTGGGAAACCAGTTATGCAAATATAGATCAAACAGAAATAGAACTGAGAACTATGAAGCACTATGATATATAGGGTATTCTGATGATAAACTTACTGTTTGAAGTGTTTAAGATATAGTGTCCTCATATATTTAGTCTTCTCAACAAATTACATCTCGTAAATACTACAATAAAGTACGTACATGTAATCTATGGTACCTTATAGATCATAATATTTAACCCAATACAAATGGCCGAAATTCAAAGATTTGTTCATCGAAACAACATATTAGGAGAGCTTCTCATGAAATTCGACAGCTTCCTTTAAAAACGTTACCGAAGTACATTGGCTGGGAACCCATTTGGAAGTGACAGTTGGGGCAAAAGTAACTATAACAGATATTTATCTGTGTGAAAATGATTATCAATGAGAGTTCGTCTGTAGTTACGAAAATACGAGTATGAAGAAAACAAAGTACAGCTTTGTCGAGAAAACATATATTTTCTTATAACTTGGCTTCAGAAGTGAGAAAGTTTAATAAATGAATTCTAGACGAGAGTTTACATTAGGAAGGACAAAGGAAGCCGTCAAATTCTGTTCTCTGTAAAAACCAAACCAGTATAGTGTTAACACTTCAAACACATGTTGATTCCATTTTTACCTTTAAATTGAAATGCGCATTGAAATAACCCTATTATTCCAAATGAATCTATTAACGGCAATTTTAATTTTATTGCGCTATCCTAAAGCCACTGTCATCAAAGGATTTAAACCTGAATTATGTACTTAAGAACACTGTTGTTATTCTCTTTCCTAGTGACCTCAACAATTTTATAACTACCAATAGAAGTGGTAGCATAAGATTTCGAATCGGTTACATCATATTTAAACAGTGTTTGCGTTGAAATCAATCTGGCTTGCTTTAACAGAATAGATTTAATATTTCTATTAAATCCTAAAGGGAATTACTTTATTCTCGATGTCACGAACATTACTCATTTCTCATCATCAAAGTAAATGACTCGACAATCGATAAAGGCACTGTGATGTTGACACCTTTATAACTTTCATAATTTAGATATATAGTGAAATTCTGTTATTTTATTTTACTCTTAAGTGAGCTTGCAAATAAAGCTTATGTTGAACTTATATCAAACCTGTGGGTCTATAGTTTATCCTTCTAGCTTATAGCACAATGTCTGTCAAGGTAGTGAAGTAAACTACAACACATCGTTAGTCCACTAATTTAAAAAACTCTAACACTGTCAACTTTTGAGTGTATGTGAAAATAGGTTATCGATGGCACAGTTCCAATATTATTACTAATTGAACTGATTTTAGAGATTTAAAACAGAAATAATTATCTACAGAAATAGACAAATGCATTTTACCTTACATTGAATGATTTAAAATGTCAATTGCAGTTTTCTTTTTTTGAAAATCAGTAATTCAAACAAAACTTGACGATAACAGACACCTGACAGAGGGTAAAGTTGATTGATTTTGA